TCTCGCTTGAGGTCGCTTGCGCAATCTCTGCTTCATGGGGTTTCAACGCCAGATGCGTAATTTCTGACGCAAAGGGTAATAAGTGGAGTTCTTGCGGGACATTGGTTAATAAAGCGGCTGGCAAGGTATCGCAAGTAGGAGACTAAGAAGGAACCTCAGTAAGCTGTTCTTCCACTATTTCCTCGCTCGTTTCATCAACTGAGGCGGTTTCTGCAAAGAAACAACTTACTGCCTCCTCCACTTTTGGGGTGTCGTTGACTGACATCTCTGCCACATGCGCATTGTCGTGATCTGCCTCATTGTCTTCTGCTGGTGAGCACTGTATTTCCCCGCATACGTTAGGGCGGTTGCTGCTGTCGTAGATCTCATCCCCAGATTCGTGTACAAAAGGGGAGTTCTGCTGTGAGGGAAGATCAGTAATCTCAATTATAGGTTCCATTGCTGGCGGGACATCCGTCGGCAAGGGGCTCTCCAACTGAATGTCACTGTACTCGGTGGTCGCCGAGGAACCGTCAGAGATCCCACTCACGACAAGTAGATGCTCCGGATCTTCCTCCTCATCTGGTGGAATGACGTATACTTGAGGCTTATCTAAATCGGATGTTGACTGTGGCGCGATAGCAGGTTCCGTAGCTTCCACTGTTGGACTGGGAGGCGACGCTGCTACTTCCTCGGCTGGTTCCAGTAGCACAGGTGACTCGCTGCCACCGTCTACTTGCGGTTGGATGCCAGATTCTGCATTGGTTAAATAAGTATTATCACCGGAAAACTGCACAAAAACCTGCTGAGGTACACATTCGCAGAGATTGAAGTCCCCTCCCGGCGTCTGATGAGCATGAAAAGCTTCTGCAGCCGGCGTTGCAAACGCAACTACCTTTTCATCCTCTTCGGGTTCCACCATCTGCAACGCATTTGCAGTGGATAGGGAGCAAATAGCACCGTCAGGGCTTTCTCTTATATCAATGCAGTTTTGGAATGCTGTTAAGACGTCCGGGTTCGGTTTTTGCGGAGCTGGGGAATCAGGCACCATAAAAGTATCATTTGCACTGTTGAGAGTTTCGGTTGGTAATGTCAGGCAATAAGACACTTCATGCTTCTCACAAAAATTCTCGCTGACTGTTGGGTTATCCAGTACGTCTTCCTCATTCGCTTTGACCTCAAGTTTTGTAAACTGTAAGGGAAAGACTGCTTCAACGGAGGTTCCATCGGTTGTATCTGTTTCCTCAGCAGTAGAGGCCCAGTGTAAATGTGGTTGCAAGGTATCCATGCACTCCATGTTATCATCTGACTCAGAGTCAGATGCATGCGACGTATCTTCACATTTGGCAGTCGTCTCTTGTGCCGTAAAGATTTGTTTTGCGGTGCCTGTCTTTTCCGCTTCTTCTTGTTCTATTGACTTTGCTGGCTCTGTTTGCGTAATATTCACACACGTTTCAAGCAAGTCTGCATCCGAGCTCACCAAGTCAGTGTGACTCGCCTCGGAAGATGGCAGAGATTGATTTGTCTGGTTGTTTGCCTGAACGAGGTCGTCCTGTTGTGGCTGATGAAGGTTATCTGAGGAGACAACTTCACCTACCGCAGTTCCTTCCTCGGGCTCGCAGGCTTGTGACTGAGGTTCCACAGGAGAGCTGGGGGTGTGATAATTGACGATACTTTTGGCACTGCTCTGCGACTCAGAACATTTTGAACGAATTTCTTCTTCCTCGAAATAGGGATCCACAATTTGCGTCTTGCCTGTGTCTTCGGTATCAGCACTCTCAGCCTGCGTCTGCACTTCCTCCCCAGATGGTGCGTCCACCTCGAGAATCTCATTCGCGGAGAATTGCTCAACGTCTCCTAAGTCAGGTAGGTTTTTTTCCGTCGGCATCTGGACAGATAACCTGGCAGAATCCTCAGGTAAAGGTGATGGGCTGGTTGGAGTTCCAGTGCTTTCAGGTCCCTCATCTTCTGCGATGTGAAGTGTTGCATAATCATCCTGATGTTCCTTTTGTTCGGCGAAGCCTAGGTCCGGTTGAATATTCAAATCGCTGTATTGCTCAGGGCAGGTGAGATCTAAATTTTCCTCCATTTTCGCAGTTAGGAGTTTATTTGATGTTTCATTTGTTGTATCTCCTTCTACTTGAGGAAGTCCTTCACAAAAAACGTTCCTCTCTGACTCGTGACCCATTGTGCTGCTATTGCCCATATCTTCGACATCTTCATTTGTCGAATTCTCCAGAACGTGGGCCGAAAAATGCTCTCCGTCTGTTTTAGACTCCTCTCCTTGCTCTTCCTCGTCATCAGACGCCCCGTTAGAAATATTCCCAGTGGCACCGCTGGATAAGTGAGCAGGCTCTAGCGAATCGGTTCTTCCTCCGGGAATTTCCTGAGTGAACGGGGCGTTTTCTTGAGTGGTAGGCAGTAAATCATCTGGGTTTTCGATGACAGGGGCGTCTTCCTCCTCCTCCGTTTGAGCTGGAAAGACCTTCTGAAATTCGTCGACAAGATCCGCATCAGGCACATTCAAGGGGCATTGCTTTTGATCGGAGATACTTCCTGTGCCTTTTGGCAGTGAACAACCGTTAGAAGAAAGTCCTGGGTGGTCAGCCGGTTTTTCTTCCCGCAAAATCGAAATTTCCTCCCTATCAGATGGACTGGCAAGTGTTGTCTCTTCCATTTTCCGGAGGATTTGAGATTGAAACGAAGACGATTATTCGTGTATAATCCGCCAAAGTGGATAAGAGAGAGAGGTTCTCGTCACTGCCCTCGAAAATGCGTCTCACACAGGCCACACGGCGACACTAACTGCTAGTTCGCAGTCAGTGTGTATGTGAGCGAATTCAGAGAGACGTGGACGAATGGACGCGCCAGTTTTTTTGTCAGCCGTCGGGAATGTTAAAGTAGCTCGACTCGATAAAAGCGTTGTGCGGACCAGCCAATAGAAAGCCAGGCCGGACCAAGAAGGACATTTCTTGTTTCAGTTTAGCGAGGAGAAGGAGGCATAAATGCGATTATGGCCAATATCGTGCCGTGGCAAAAAGGACAAAAAGTGGTTTGAGTTTAATAGATTTTAGGCGCTGCCAGTAACGCTGTGACCACTGCTAAAATTCAAAGGGAAGGGAAAAACAGGAGGATCACTAGTTCATGTGTGGGCTTGCTACGGTTGAGAACATGAATTGAGCCAAATGAATTTTTGGGTACTTTAATAAAATAGTGAAGTTTATATTAGGGGAACTTTCTTCGATAAAATTATTAGTGGAAGTTGCTCCATCAAGAAAAAGCGCATTTGAATATGTTGCTGTTCCGAGAATTATTTAGACAGTCGGTTACATTGGATAAAATTTAAATCCTTCGTGCACTCCACGACAATTATGATTGCAATGTTGTAGACGATTTATGGAGTTATAATCTTACAGTTGCACATCACGTTCACACGATTCTACAAAGTCAGCATACTTTGTTAAACGATAATTCTGAAAGCCGGGAGCCTAACATGCAAATGTTTCATTCCTTATGGTATTCACTTTAAATGAATAAGCGGTCGAAAATTTCGACATAAGCTGTTGAAGTTTATGCTGAAGCTTTGATTTAACTGTTGAACTTATTTAACTGCACTCTTTTCGATAGTTTTATCCTCAATGTATTTTCATTTTCCGATCATTCCGAACGAAAAAACAGTCCATGTAGATCAAGCAGTATACGGCCTCATTGTCTATCCTACTGCCAATCAGAAATCTGACGTTATCTTATTTAATCTCAAAGAATGATGATGCCGTCAGAAACGGAAATATAAAATAAAAGGTTTGGTATTAAGTTATTTTAATTTCACTAAATTCAACATATTTCAAACCAGATGTGAATCTTCGTCAATACAGTAAATAACATTATAACTTTTTAAATGAATCTTGGTTTGCGATGTAATGTAGAAAAACGTGTCTGATAGCACAATAACACTATCATGTTATATATATTTGACTATAGTAAATTTTCAGCGTTCCTTATTTTAGAAGTCGTCCGTATGTACTGGATAAATGAATTTGCCTAGTGTTATGGACTTGCCGTAAAATAAAATGACAAGTTTAATGTCATAATCAACACAATTAAGCCAAATGCATCTGAGAGGTAATTTCGATAATACCCACAAGAGCCATCAAATTTTGGATAAGAAATTCGAAGCAGTTCGCCAAATTTATTTTAATTTTTAAGGCTTAATGTTCCTGAGAGTGTTCCCTCGGGATCGGCTTTCAAATAGAGAAATAACAGCAAAGTGACAAAATAATGCTATGTAAAATTTCGCCAAGAAACATTTTATGCCTTCCCTCTTTTAACTTTCCACAGTTTCCTTTAGCTGGAAGTGCCCCTGGAGCAAATAAAAAGGCCTGCAATTTCCTAGGTTTTGTTTTCGTTTTGGGTTTTGGTTGGATTCAGATATTCTAGGGTCGTCCTTACTTGTAATGACTGTCAATATTTTTCAACACGTTTGAAACAATGCCTTATGCGCAACACTAGAAGCACAATATCGCCGTAAACCTGCAAACAAATATACACTTTTTTGGGCTGGGAGTAATAAAAAAGGCCAATGTTATCTCTTTATATTCTATGCGTGAGCAAATCATATTAATTTACTTGAAATGTTGATTGCGAATTTCTTTTTCAATGAAGTTATTTTGCTATTACTCTAATTGGATGCCGTCCCATTAAGGAAGTATTTATTTACCGTATTTCTATCCAGAGGCCGTTTGCTACATATCGGGCACATGCGTAAGCTACTATCGGTTTTATTACAATTTCCGTCACTGTACTGTGGCCTCAGTGTTTATCAGAGTAAAATTTTCTCTACAGTTAAAGTCATTTTGACTTAATTTTTCCAATTTACACAACGCGTCTGTTTACGTCTGCATGCAGTTTTATATGAAACGTACTGAATGTTTTCCAAACTTGCCAATATTTTACTCAATGAACAGTGTTAAAAAATAAGACCATTGCGTAAGTCAACCATACATTTAATCAATGTTGAATTAATAGCAGAAACTTTTAACCCCCTTAAGTAAGTGACTTTGTTTCAAACCGTGCACCTTGTGAAGTATTTTTTAAGATCTCAATATGAAGAACAATTTCGCTGTTGTAAGGATAGGAACATTTAGTCCTGATCCTTCGTTACCTTTTGCGTTGAATAAATAATATCACAATAATGTGTTTTGTTCATATTTAACCTACAAATTTTTATTGAACATGTTTTTACCTGTGAATATGTAACAGACCCGGTATTCCGGAAAAAGACGGATAATGGTAAAACAATTTTTCTCCCAGGGTCCCTGCAATTCAGCAACCAATTTTCTGAATTCAAACTTCAACTTTTCTAATTATATTAGATGAGCAAACCCGGAGCTCAACTGCAGTGTTAGATAACTGCTGAAAATGTGCAAAAGCACTGTCATGGAACGACAACTCAAAATCGTATTAGATGCTTTCGAGGCTATTTGAATGCACATGAAGGTGCCGTTTTACTAAACTTTATCTTTATTTTGTTATGGGAATCGCTATAAATACTAAATCTAACAATCTCCTTACACTAAAAAATGTGAGGTGCTTAGTTTCAATTGATAATAATTTTGGCAAAATTCAGAGCAGAGAATGGAAAATTGATATTATAAATGATGGACACTTGAAGGAGCGGGCATATTATGACAATTGGAGATGGATTGATTCAATTTCCTTCGATCAAAAGGAAAATTCACAAGCAGCACTTTGCAGAAGGAAAAAAGGATTGAAAGACTAGAGGACTGCGTGCTGCAAATGCAATGCCGATTTTTGCCTCTTTTCATTGAGGCCTTTTTCGG